GAAAGCAATTGCCTTTTGTATCTCCGGGTTCTTAACTGCTGCTTCACTCTGCTCTGCTGTTTTATTCTCTTTTATGTTCGGATCAACATGTAAATAACTGAAGATGATGACTGACTTTACTTAAGGCAAATGTAATGAAAATGTAGAAATAAAATCCAGCCTCAATGGAGAAGGAGAGACTATACCATTGGGAGACCTAAAGAGATACCGTGCTGATTAATCTATCAGAGGATAGCTTTTAATGTCTAAGTTTTTGCATCAGAAATAAGGGACAATTTCGTATTAGTTTTCTGCCAAGTGAGTTTCAAGGAACAGTAGTCTTATGAGGTGTCTAGGATAAGTTTACCCAATGTTAGAGGGGTTTGGGAAGTGCTATGCACTGTTTGCTACCCTTAGTGATTTATGGCATATATTAGTGCTGAGAAAACTTGTTTCATTTTGTTAAATATGTAAAAACATTGTAAATTTGTGAAAATTTTGTAAAGTTTGGTTGTGTTATGTAATATGTCATTTTCCTAACATTTTAAAGATGATAAGGAATTACTTATTACAGTTTTTGTTCCTTTCTTCCTTTTGGGAAATTGAAAAGATTAATGAATTCTCTACAGTTGAAATAAAAAGACCTAGACACTGGAGCTCAAGGAAAAAATTAAGAGATTAAGGGGTCTTTTATGTTATTTCTAATTTCATGACTCTTTATAAAAAATATGCAAAGGGGCAAATATGAAAAAATGTCAATAGTTGTTACTTTCGATAAGAGATTATGGGTTAGGATTCTATGTAGCACAGTGTGTCTATGAAAAAGCTAGATTTTTTTTTATATAAGACATTGTACTAATAACCAGTTATCTGTTCATTTATTCAACAAATGTTTATTGAGCACTTAAAATATGCTATATACCATTCTTGGCACTTGCGATATACCAGTAAATAAACAGATAAAGATCTCTTTCTTTGAGGTAACAGAAAAAGGTTTTCATTCAATAAATATTGATGAGTTGTGAAGGTTTGCTTCTAATAATGTCTGAGTAACCTTTTTCTGATCCTTCTGTAGATAACAACTATAAATTCTAGACAAAACCAAAACAAAATGAAAAATTGGCCAGAGGTGTTAGAGAGCAACACAATGTAGGCAGATTCTGGAGGGGATCAACACTTAGGAGAAGGGAAAGACACTAAATAAGTACCATTTGCAAGGTTTGTATATTGAATTAAGGCTCCAGTTTGTCCAATATAGATGTAGGAAAATAAAACTGTGATAGAAAATCTGAATTATTTTTGGTTTGAAGAATCGAGGAACAAAGTTCTAGAAAATACAGCTTCTGGAAAGTGATGAAACCAGACAAAAGGAGGCTAACTTTGGTCCAGCTCCTCTCAACTCTGTCTAAACCTAGAAACATGAATATTTGGGCAGATTCCAAGGAGCCTACTTGAGGATTAGATTAAAACAGCCAATTAAGGCCAGATACGGTGGCTCACCCCTGTAATCCTAGCACTTTGGGAGGCCGAGATGGGTAGATCACTTGGGGTCAGGAGTTTAGACTAGCCTGGCCAACATGGTTAAACCCCATCTCTGCTAAAAACACAAAAATTAGCCAGGCATGGTGGCACATGCCTGTAATCCCAGCTACTCGGAGGCTGAGGCGCCAGAATCACTCGAACCTAGGAGGCGGAGGTTGCAGTAAGCCGAGATTCTACCATTGCACTCCAGCCAGCACCTGGGCAACAGAGTAAGACTCTGCTTCAAAAACAAACAAGCAGAAAGAAAACAACAACAACAAAACAAAAAACTCTACCATCTAAGAAACAGACTTTAATGTTTTTGATAAATAATGTTTAGATAATTATGCTAATTATCTAACATAAACAAACTCAACAACAAAAACACTCTTTGAGGAATAAGACAGAATCCAGCAAGCCACAGTGCAAAATTACTTAACATAGACAAATTAGAAAAATCTCAAAAGAAAAGCAAATGAATACCAACTCTAAGATTAACCAAATATTGGAATTAGCAAGCAGGAGTTTAAAAGTAGGAATTGTACTGATGCTCCAGGACAAAGATAGGTTCACAATAAAATTTAAAAACTAAATTGGAGCAGAGAAGTAAAGAAAATCAAAGAATGAAATGAAAATGCTAGAATTCATAAGTTCAATATTTAAAAAAAATTTACTTGAATAGGTTTAACCTAAAAAAAAAAAAACAAAAAAAAACAAGGTGACAAGAGAAAGAGTCAATTAACTTGAGGGCAGAGTAATAGAAATTCTTTTTAAAAATTAACAAAGGCTTAGAGACCTGTGGCAAAACATGAAATACTAATCATAAGTGAAACTTGAAAACAAAAGAGAGAGTGAATGGAGCATAAATAATGACCAAAATGTTTACTTCGGTAAAAGTAATAAATTTACAAATTTTAAAAACTTAGAAAAACCTAACCAGGATATATACAAAGAAAACCATACCTAGGAAAAACAGAGTCAAATTGTAGAAAACTAAAGATTAAGAGAAAATCTTGAATGTGACTCCCCAAATTGACACTTTACGTAATGGAGAATGGCTATTCAAATCATTGCTGATCTCGTCTTAGAAAAAAGTGAAGGCTAGAACACATTAGAACAAAATGCACAAAGTGCTGAAGGAGAAAACTGTTAACCTGGAAATCCATATCCAGAAATAAAAAATCATTTAAGGATTAAATGCAAAATGAAGACATTTTTAGGTAAAAGAAAATTAAGAGAATTTTCTACTGTAGACCTGGATTAGAAGAAGCATTGACAGAAGTTCTTTAGGCTGAAAGAAAATGGTAACAGACAGAAATGACCAATTTCAAGAGTTACTATGAAGGTATAGTGATCAAGATGGTATTGCTAAAAGAACAGACAGATCAATGTAATGAAATAGCTCAGAAATAGATCAGCACAATTATAGTCAATAGTTGTTTAAGAAAGATGCAAACACAATTCAACGAAGAATAGTTTATATATCTATATTTGTCAAAACCCAGCAAATGAACACTTACAATTTATGCATTTCATTGTATGCAAATCTTGTATTAAGAGAAAAAAATACAAGCAACTAATGAACTTTAGTTAATATGCATGCTGAAAGATTTAGAGAGAAACATATCAATGTCTTCAATTTCCTTTAGAATGTATTAAAAACAAGATGTATTGATGAATGATTAGAGAAATGAATAAATATGTAATAAAGCAGTTTTTAAAAATGATGACAGAATCCAAGTGATGGCTATGTAGGTGCTTATAGTATTATTTTTCTCTGTATATGTAAAATGTTTTGTGATAAACATTGTAAAAATTATTTGTGGATCACCCACTATAAACTGGTATTGTGTTGGGGCCATGGTCTTCCAAATCTAGAATCAAGAATAAGTGGTTATTTATTCTCAAATGTCTCCTAGTTTGAGGAAAGAAACAAGCATAGAAATACATAACTCAAGAGAGACGAACCCAAGTTATTATGGTAACATAGAGGAAGGTCCTGCCATCCAAACCAGGGGTTGTCGTGGGTGGCGAGGGAAGGTGTCTGATAAGAGCTTATGCTTGTGCTGAGTCCTAAAGGATAAACAGAAGTTAACCAGATCCATGGGGAAAGATGACAATGGGAGGAAAGGGCATTTCAGGTAAAGGAGACAGCCTAGGCAAAGACCAAAAGCATGCGGTGTGTAAACACTTGCATTTTGGTGTAACTAATGTTTGACTTATAAAAAGAAATTGATAGGATATTAAATATAATCAAAGAGCAGACACTGCAGTTTGGGCTCATCTATGGGGAGCTGTAGAAGGGTTTTAAATAAGGCAATGACATGAAAACATTTGAGTTTTAGACTGACAACTCTGGCAGATATGGAAGATAGAATTGAAGTCTTGCATCTATAAAAGTAATTAGAAGGCTGTTATAGTAATGAGACTGATAAAAAGTATGAACTAGGACTTGTATTTTAAGAACAGGGATAAAGAAGGCCTCAGTTTGAAACAGAGGAAGAAGGCAAGGTTGGATATAGGTTTAGGGTGCACATATAATTTACCTTTTATAAAAGGTAATTTTGAGAGTAAAAGTTGGCATTTAATACTTATGCTAGGACATTTGGCATTGACTGGACTAGGATAGGACAAATGTCATCCAACTGACTGTCATCCAAAATATGGGGGAGCAGGGATGGGAGGCAGGAGGCTAGCTTGGCTGAGGCTCCTAGCCTGGCTGACAGATATAGGAAAAAATGGCTTGAAAGTAAAGAAGATGAAATACAAAGACATTTATGATTCATTTATTCCTACTCTGATGAATTTAAAATCTGGAGAAAACTTATGGTTGGCTATAGTTGTCAAAGATGTACGTGGCATCTAAGCTAGGTTATAAAGGATGTAGGATTTAGATCTCTCAAAAAGGTAGGCAACTTAAGACCAAGGTGAGCTGTGTGTCTAGAGCTCTGAAAACAATATTTAAATGGAGTTGTGTTTTGGGTTATCTGAAACAGTCTAAAATAGAAATAACTCAGGTATCCATTATTAGGATTATAGGGGTCCAACAGAGAAATAGACGCAAATGACAGGCATAAGAGGTCAATAGATTCACTTTATTATTACTATTTCTGGACTGGAGCAGGTGGCTTGGATTTGCAGCCATAATTGTGCTTTCTGAGACCCATTCCATAAATTGGATTGTGGGGCTTTTCATGGGAAGAAGAATCTCTAAGGCAGTTAATTATCAGTCACCATGATATTCTTGGTGTCAGAGCCATAACATCTAGATGGAATTCCTATCCAGACAGAAAATTATTCATCCAGAAGAGAAAACACTGTCTCATCTGTATCAGATCCTGAAAAAGGGGTCAAAGAGATAAAGCCAATATGTGTCACCTGACATTTATGTCATTCTATTGCTCCAATCAGAAAAGTTAATTAATTGTCAGATTCTCTTATATCAGTTGGGTAGCGCATTCCTCTTCCTATGTGAGAAAGTGAATTAGGGGTTGGGAGAATAAATAAAAGTTTTACTGACATGCTGTCCTTTCCTGGAGGAGAAGTTATTTCACGGAATCATGAAGGTAGGGAAATATTGTCACCCCCAACACTCTGTATCTCTGACAAAGCTCAAGTTCAGTTTTGCTGTTGACTTCAGAAATACATTAAATATGTACTCATGCAGCAACACTCTCTTATAGAACACTCCCACTGTGATAGTCTATCTGGAATTCTCCCTTTTTTCTTCACTCAAGTGGTTTCTAGGCGTCGACACCTTCACGTTTGTATACATTCCATTACATATTCTTTAAACTGTAATCTTATTCTGCTCCATTTTTTACTTGACTGATTTCTTTTGAACAAGATACACCTTTTGATCACTGTCCTCATAATGAACTCTATACCACCAAGTCTCAGGGATATTTACAAGGTAAAATTGATCTCTGCTAAGTCTTAAGTTCACCTTGACTTTTTCCCCTAAGCTATATTGTATGCACTGGTATATCTGCTAGAATAGATGTAGATTTTTTTGTACTTTCAGCTATGTTTTTTTTTCAATACTAAGAGACCCATCTACTATTAATCTTTTTTTTTTTAACATCAGAAGTAGGGTCTGATATTTCCCCTATTTTAATAGAATATCTCATCTTCCTTTTAAATTCTTCTCAATCAGAATAACAAATTATTATCTTTTCAGTCATGATGATATACTTTCTGTCCAAGGCATTTTATAATCTCTAGGTAGAAGTCAAGGGTACATGCCTAATCTCTCTTTCCAAAGGCAAGAAAGAAGTGTCCCAATATCTGTCTTCATCATAAAATCTCCCTCTCAGGACTGGATGACATCATTGGAGCCTTTTTTCTCCTTATTTTTTCTTCCCTGCCTAAGAGGCTGGGGTGCACTTCTATATGGAAAGAATTCTTGGTCATGGAAGACCTAGAAGAACTGGGTAACAAGAGAGGAGGGGGCCTGGTAAGGACTGCTTAGGTGAATCTGGTTCTAGAGATGTGAGAAATAAGTCTTTCAGGCTCATTTCAGTTAAAGCCTAAAGCTAACCATTACAAGTAATGCCCATAGCTCATCCAGCCCAGTGTTAGGGAACATATCACAGTCCTGTCCTTATATTTACATATGGAAGCTGCTGTTATATTCTCCAGAAGGTAACAGTATAAGAGAAACGTGTATCCAATTTCTTACTCAAACAGGGAGAGTGAGGCAAATTCAATTAGTGAGAATGGGGAGTACTTGGATCTGTTACAGCCTCATTAACAATGACATAGCCACTGCACTGTGGCTCTGATGACAGAGGGAGTGACATAAAAGGCCTTGGAATAGTCTTTCATCCAGATTTATTGCCAGTAAAGCTGGTAGTTTGATCTCAACTTTAGCTATTTAGGTTTGTCTCCTGGAGGGGATACAGGAGAAGTGGTCATTTGAACACCAACCCCCCTGAACTTTTAGCATCCAGCCAAGACAGTAGCTTACACTGATATTTAGATTCCAATTATTTAACTAATAATAGTGCATTTTATTTCCTTGGTGGTGTACTTCTTTTTTTTATTTTTTTTTGAGACAGAGTTCGCTCTTGTTACCCAGGCTGGAGTGCAATGGCGCGATCTCGGCTCATCGCAACCTCTGCCTCCTGGGTTCAGGCAATTCTCCTGCCTCAGCCTCCTGAGTAGCTGGGATTACAGGCACGCGCCACTATGCCCAGCTAATTTTTTGTAATTTTAGTAGAGACGGGGTTTCACCATGTTGACCAGGATGGTCTTGTTCTCTTGACCTCATGATCCACCTGCCTCGGCCTCCCAAAGTGCTGGGATTAGAGGCTTGAACATGGTCTACTTCTTAATCACTCTGCAGCATGCGTATGTAGCGGATGGCCCTGTCTTTCTTAATGCTTTGTCTTTTCTTGGCTTCTATGACACCAAAGTTTCTGTTTTCCTTCTACTTCCTTGGCTACTCTTTTCTTGTTGCCTATGTTGACTCCTTCAATGTAGGCTCCAAATTTTAAACTGAGTGCCACGCAGTTAGCTTTTCTTTATTTTCTTTTTCACTATACCTAATCTCATTTAGTACTTTTATTTATTTCTTTTTATTTTTCAAATTAAAAAAAACTTGTTCATGAGAAGAAAGAAAAAATCTTAAATAGCAAATGACTTTCTTTTCAAGATGATAATTTATCTGATGAAAGACAGATCCCTATAGGAAGCAATAGATCATTCATTGGTTCACTCACCATTCTTATTTTTTTTTAAAAGAAAAAAAAAAGAGAGAAAGAAAGAAAAAAAAGGAATGAAGGAGAGGAAGAAAGAGGAATAAGAAAAGGGAGAGAGAACGGGAGTGTTGCTTTATTGCCCAGGCTAGAATGCAGTCTAAAAATGGGTATTGAAAACCTCTTTTATGCCAGTAATTGTGCTTAATAATGGCCGACCAATATTTCATTTAAACCTGTGAGTAGGTGTGATGTGGTACTGATAAGAGTGTATATTTTGTGTATTTAAAGTGGAGAGTTCTATAAATGTTTATTAAGTTTACTTGTTCTGGATCTGAGTTCAAGTCCTGGATATCCTTATAATTTTCTGTCTCGTTGATCTATCTAATATTGATGTTGAAGTCTCCCACTATTATTGTGTGGGAGTCTAAGTCTCTTTATAAGTCTTATGTATCCTGTATTGGGTGCATATATATTTAGGATCATTAGCTCTTCTTGTTGTATTGATCCTTTTACCATTATGTCCTCTTTTGATCTTTGTTGCTTTAAAATCTATTTATCAGAGGCGAGAATTGCAACTCTTGCTTTTTATTTATTTATTTATTTATTTATTTTTGCTCTCCATTTGGTTGGTAAATCTTTCTTTGGTTGGTACGTACTTTGGTTTAAATGGCATTTATATTAAACTATTCAAAAATAGATAACTCCAGTTCTGGGCTTTCTCTTGAGATTTGGAGCCATCTATACAACTATTGTTCTGATGTCTGCATTTGGCAGCCTAATGGCCATCTCATGTTTAATACTTGCAAGGCAGAAGTAAACCTGCTTTTCCCCAGTTTCTACTCTCTCAGTTTATTGCACCATTCTCCTACTAGGCTGGGTAAATGCCACCTTTCTTGTGTGTGTGTCTCTTTCTTACAAGCTCCAGATCCCAATGATTAAAAAAAAAAAAACAAAACAAACAAACAAAAAAAAAAACAGAGCCCAAACCAGATGCCTTCCATCTATCTGTACTAATCCAAATCATCTCTCTCACAGGCTATTCCAGCAGTCTATTAACTGTTCTTCAAATTCTCCTCTTTTCTGGTTACATATTTCTCAGGGAGCAATCAGGGTATTTAAAAGGTAAATCGAATCATATCTCTCTTCTGCAATGAATTTCTAATTACTTTTTGGTACACTCAAATAAAATCCCCTAATTTTCTACATTATTTTCACCCACCCCCACAATTCTCTAATCTCGTCTTCTGTCACTCTCCCTCCTTCCCTTTATTCCAGCCACGTTGCTTGTTCTTGCTGTAGAACTTATTGTACCAGTTGTTTTTTCTGTCTGAAATGTTTCTTTCCCCAAAGTCTTTGCATTGCCAGTTCTGAGCCTCAGCTCAAAAGTCATCTTGTTAGGCCTTTCCATATCAACTATTCATCATTTTACTCACCACCCATAGAAACAGTCTCTTAATGTCCTTTTTTTTTTTCATTTTCCTCCTAGCTTTTACCACAATGATAAGTGTGTGTTATTAGGGTGAAACCCTGTCTCTACTAAAAATACAAAAATTAGCTGAGCATAGTGGCAGGCACCTGTAATCCTAGCTACTTGAGGGGCTAAGGCATGAGAATCACTTGAACCTGGGAGGCAGAGGTTTCTGTGAGCTAAGATTGCACCACTGCACTCCAGCCTGGGCAACAGAGTGAGACTGTGTCTCAAAAAAAATAAGTGAGTTCCTGATAGCAGCAGTGTCGATTGTTCACTGTTTGTCCAGCCTGGTTCTGCGCCACTGCACTCCAGCCTGGGCAACAGAGTGAGACTGTGTCTCAAAAAAAAATAAGTGAGTTCCTGATAGCAGCAGTGTCGATTGTTCACTGTTTGTCCAGCCTGGTTCGTTTCACAAGCAGTTGAATCTCAGCAGTGAGTCACCAGCTACTATGATGCATCTCTTCTTCCTGCAGCAGTTGATTGATTTTCAGGATCTTTTGAAGCTACAAATCTTCCTTGATATAGAGAGTATGGACTTCCTTTTCCCCAAGGAGTAACTCTAGACATTTTTTTCCCCAAAGTCACAGTCTTCTACCTACTTCCTCTTTAGCTCCTTGTATGATTTTAGACTATTTTCCTTTCAGATTCTCCTTGATTATGGTACATATTTATGTATGATAAAGAGTTCATGAACTCTTGACTTCAAAACTGGGACAGTTCCAGTTTACACCTATGGTATCAGCATAATTATTAATGGCACCCCCTTTTTTCCCACAATTGTCTCATTTGGACAATGTATCATATAGTCATCCTCACTGTATGTACTTATTTCTGCTCTTTTGTCATTGAACTTCTGTTCTGCCAGTTTTTCTCTCTCATGGTGAGGAGTCTCAGGTGGCATTGCATTCTTGGTGCATCCCCAGGGACCCTCATCATGAACTGGCACATCTGGTCATTGAACTCCAATTTCAGCTTTGCGGCCACTGTCTTTTCCTACCTGAGCAGACAGACTGATTTATCTAGGTGACACAAATTAACAATGAACAATTAGCCACTCCTTAGAGCTGCTGAGCTAGGCTTTGCATAGAGAAGTGCCTGCTTCAGAAGGCCACACTTTGTTAGCCATTGATTTGTATAACTTAAAATGCTACGGTATACTCCTTTTAAGTAGTCTATAATTCAGATTTCTACCACTGAATTATATTAGTCTTCACTCAAGTTAGTTATAATTTACTACATTTTACAAGGGAATGCTGTAAGATGGGATGATGTTTCACTGAAGCAGCTGTGATTTTGGCCAGATTTGTCTTAATACAGTTGGCCCTCCATATTTGCAGATTCCACAACTACAAATTCAGGCAAGCCTGGATTGAAAATATTTGGGAAAAAAATTCAATAAAAATAACATTACAACAGTAAAAAATAATATTATAAAATCAATACAGTACTACAACTCTATAGCATTTACTTTATATATATTAGGTGTTATAACAAATCTGGAGATGTTTTAAGACATACTGGAGGATGTGCATGGGATTATATGCAAATACTATCCCATTTTATATCAGAGAAATAAGCATCCTCAGATTTTGATATTTGAGATGGGTGGGTTGTGGGGGATTGAGGAGTGGAGTCCTAGAACAAATTCCTTGCAGATACCAAGGGACGACTGTGTTTTATGTTTTTTTTTTTGATACTGAGTCTCACTCTTTTGCCAGGATGGAGTGCAGTGGCACGATCTTGGCTCTCTGCAACCTCTGCCTCTGGGTTCAAGCAATTCTCTGCCTCAGCCTCTTGAGTAGCTGGGATTATAGGTGCCCACCACCACACCTGGATAATTTTTTTTTTGTATATTTAGTAGAGACAGGGTTTCACCATCTTGACCAGGCTGGTCTTGAACACCTGACCTCGTGATCCACCTGCCTCGGCCTCCTAAAGTGCTGGGATTACAGACATGAGCCACCATGCCTGATCAAAAGTTTTATTTTAGAGACGGGAGTCTCACTATTTTACCCAGGCTGGAGTGTAGTGCTATCCACAGGTATGATCAAGCAAGATTCTTCCTGCCTCAGCCTCCAGAGTAGCTGGGATTACAGACATGCACCACTGCACCTGGCACTTTTTTTGAGTTATTCTGACATCATTTTGCCAACATTTTGGCTGTGGCATATACTAATCCATCTTGGCTATCACATAACCTATTAACTATGTATCAGTTCACTTTTGATATCTTTTCTTCAATCTCTGAAGATGTTAACCAACTCTGTTGTTGATGCTTTAACATGCAAATGTTAATTTTATTCATTTGTGTTTAAATAAGTAAGCCCTGAGATTCTTAGTTCTGAGGTTATCATTGTATTGCTTCGGTTTTGCTGCGAAATGGTTGTTTTAAAGCAACAAAGTTTTGAACAAACTGCCTCAAATCTTTGTTGCTTTAAAACAACAACCATTAATTTAGCTCATGATTCCATAAGTTGGCAGTTTGGGCTGAGTTCAGCTGGATGGTGGTGTGCTGATCTTGGCTGTACTCATATCAGTTGGCTCGATTCTGGGGCTTGGTTGGCAATTGGCTGTGGTTAGGGAGCAGATGAGCCATGCGTTTCTCATCATCCTGCATCTTGGGCTTATTCACACGGTTAAAAAGGTTCCCAGACATCAAAAGGACAAGCTCCAATTCACAAGTGATTTTAAAGCCTCTGCTTATGTTTCCATTATCAATGTTTAACTGGTCAAAGTAAGTCATATGACTATGACCAGCCTCAATTTGGAAGAGCACAGCAGAATAACATGGATGCAGGCTGAAGAATTAGGACCCCTTTTTTTTTCAAATAATTTATCAAAAGATTGTACACTGAAACACTGCCTAATTGTGCTTTATGTGTAGAAGTCAATGAAATTATACTCATACAATCCAAAGGGCCTTAATTAAAAAGTGTGAAAAGAACCCCATTGTAAAATTTCACCTAGTTATATCCCATGACATAATTCTAGAGGACAACATTATAGTTAGACTTTAACATATTTTAGTCAATGTTACAGACTGAATTGTTTCTTCCCCCTAACTTTATATGTAGACATTCTAAACTTAGGACCTCAAAATGTGACCATATTTGGAAATAGGACCTTTGAATCGGTAGTTAAGATGAAATGAGGTCATATGTGTGGGCCCTGATGCAATTTGACTGTTGTCCTAACAAAAAGAGGGGAATAAGACACAGACAAGTGTGCACACAGAAGAAAGCCCGTATGAGGACACAAGAAGGCGGCCACGCAAGCCTAAAAGGGAGGCCTCTGTAGGAACAAAACTGGCCCACACCTTGATCTTTGACTTCAAGACTCCAGAAATGTGAGAAAACAAATTTGCACTGTCGTAAGCCACCAAGTCCCTTCTACTTTGTTGTGGCAGCCCAAACTGAAACAGATGGTACCCAGAAATTAAAAAAAAAAATCCCAGGCAGGATAGGTTTATTTGACGGCTTATGGGAAAGGTGATCCATAATTATTTCAGCTGTAAACATAAAATCATGCAGGGAACTCAGCCCAATTTTGCACATAGTACTCCTTCATTATTTATGTAAGGAAAGAATGTTGCCTCACGTCTTACACAGGAGAACCAGGCATCAAGATTGTCACATTGCTATCCCACTGGTCTGGGCGGCTTCCCTTAATAACCAGGCAGCGGTGGTAACACGTTAACTTCTGAACCATTTTCAGTTGGAATTAAAGCTGGGGGCAGAATTTGGGGAGCTAGGGCAAATAACTTCTCCTGAAGCTGAGAGAGGCTCAGGTACGCAGCAAATATGAAATTAAAGTGTGAATACAAAATATAAGTAGACTAATTAAGCGAAAAGGCTAAAAATTCAAACTGTAGGAAATATTGCTTTTTGTAAGTTGCAGTATCATTGAATTTGTTTCTGTGTTTGGTAGATTGAGTTTTTAACCATCCTAAAGAGTTATACATACCTACTGAATAGTTTCACATAGATGCAAATTGTTACTGCATTACTTTCATGGGCGTTAAATAATTGGCACGGAGCCATGGACATATGTAGACTTAAGAAATACTCAAAAACATTTAAAATATTTAGAAGGAAAAAATGTCAATGTTGATGACAAAAAGTCAATGCCTCTGAGAACTACACATATTTTACTCAAGAATACCCATGGATAGGCACATAGTGCTGAGATATATATATATATAGATAGATATTTTTTTTTTGAGACATAGTCTTGCTCTGTCACCCAGGTTTGAGTGCAGTGGTATGATCTTGGCTCACTGCAACCTCCGGCTCTTAGGTTCAAGCAATTCTCTGCCTCAGCCTCCTCCCAGGTAGCTGGGATTACAGGTGCCCACCACCAGCTAATTTTTGTATTTTTAATAAAGACCGGGTTTCACCATGTTGGCCAGCCTGGTTTTGAACTCCTGACCTTGTGTCCCACCTGCCTCAGCCTCCAAAAGTGCTGGGATTACAGGCGTGAGCCAACATGCTTGGCCATGGTCCTAATTTTAAGTGGAAAGAGTGTGGGTGGGAACCAAAGGAAAAAGAGAAAATAGACATTATGAACATAGAGGCTTACTTATCCAATCTGAAAGTGAGGGTATGCAGAAAATGATGACTGGGCTAAACTTGTGACCTGTGAGGCCTTCCTAAATTGACTAGGGAGTCTTGAAAGGATAGAAAACTTGGCTTTCAGGTGGAGTGGGTTGAAGAGGAGAGGAAAGGGAGAGCCTATGGCCAAGAGGAGCTTTATCTGTCTTCAAAGGGAATAAAAAATGAGCTTCTAGGTGTAGCTGCTCCCCTGACCACTTTCAAATTTATATGCTTGATTAAATAATAGATTCTCGTAGGAATCAAAAAAGCTCTGAAAGGTACAAAATGTAAAATATATGGCATTCCCATCCCTGACCTTCGGTTCCCCACTTCCCATCCTTTTCTTGTTTCGATTTATAGATGATCTAGGAACTGACATACATTTTTACTTGAAAGAGAAAAAAAATCAACTTAAATCATGGCATACCACGTTAGTAATTCTGTATTTTGGACTCTTCTTGTAACGCCTTTTGGACATATGCCATTTCAGTATATATAGTACTGAGTAGGACCTAATGGGTACCTAATTAAACAGAATGTCCACAGTGTTCTATTTCATGGACATGAGTTAGATGTTACATATGTTTAGTGGCCATATTTTAATGTTTTGGAGTTGGTTTTCCTTAATTTTTTGAGGTAGATGCTTATCACATTACTTTTTATCAGAAAGAAAAGAAGTTGGTTAATGGGTAAAAAAATATAGTTAGAGAGAAGAAATAATTTCTAGTATTTGATAGTACAGTGGGGAAATTACAGTTAACAGTAATTTAATAAATAAAAATAGCTAGAAAAGAAGAATTGTCATAAACAAAAGAAATTGTTCTAAACACAAAGAAAACATAAGTGTTTGAGGTGATGGATTCCCAGTTACCCTAATTTGATCATTATAGATTGTATATAGGTATTAAAATATCACATAATCCCCAAAATAAGTATGACCATTATATAGTAAAAAAAAATGTTTAAATTAGCATTATCTAGCTTAAAAAAGTATAAGTATTTATGGCTATGATTTTGCCTCCGATATTTTTCACAAAAATATTGTAGCCACCTTTTCAGTAATTTCTAAATTGTCTGAAATTTCATTTTTGATTATTTTTTCATTGACTCAAAAACACGTATGTTTTTTCCTTCAAGGAGATAGTCTTTTTTTATTATGTTTTGGCAATTAAAATATAATTTGGCTTTCTATTTATAGCCTAATTCGCATTATTATTTTTAAAATTTTAAGAAAAACCCAATATATTTTTTGTGAAAGTAGTGTTCTATGCTGTCTTACCTGATGGTGCTTGAGGAAATGTTTTACTTTCATATCCTAAGCCTGGTCCTAACTACCAGAATGATACAGCCTTGCATGGACATTACTGAGATTGGGAAGATGTGTACCACATTCCATCCTATCACAGGGTGGACCCCACACAGTTGTTACACATTCTATGCCATTACATGAAATGTGACTCTATTACTTATTGCAGGCTAGTAACTGATCTTTCCTGCCATATTTGACAGATACATAAATTCAATTTAACTTTTTTTTTTTTTTTTTTTGATACAAGAGTCTCACTCTGTCACCCAGGCTGGAGGGCAGTGGTGCAGTCTCGGCTCACTGCAACCTCTGCTTCCTGGGTTCGAGTGATTCTCTTGCCTCAGCCTCCCAAGTAGCTGGGATTACAGGCATGCACCACCACGCCTGGCTAATTTTTGTATTTTTAGTAGAGATGGGGCTTTACCAGCTGGTTTCAAACACCTGAGCTCATGATCCGCTTGCCTCAACCTCCCAAAGCACTGGGATTACAGGGGTGAGACATAGCACCGGGCCATAAATCCAATTTTTATCTTATATAATTTTTTTCTTTTTGATAAAAAACATCAACTTTAGGGCCAAACTTTTTCTTAGTCTTTCTAAATGTGGTATATACTTTATTCACAACTTAAAGTGACTTCTCTGTAACTCAACGATTTCACTCCCCATCTCCCTAGACTGCCAAGTACAATTATTTGTTTGAACCAAGTCTCAAGAGTGGCCAGCGATGACTTGGCTAAGAGTTAAGCTGAATTCTCAGAGGGACAAGTTCCGTTATGGTTGGAGATCCACCCTCATCCCACACCACAAAACGTTCATTTACCACGGTAATGTCAGGAGGTGTGAGTATAGTCAGCCTTCTTTACGTGCGGGTTCTGCATCCTTGGTTTCCACCAACTGTGGATCAAAAATATTGGGGAAAAAATGATAAAAATAAAAATGCAACAATAAAAAAATTATAAATAAAAATAGTATAACAACTATTTATACAGCATTTACATTGTATTAGGCATTATAAGGGATTTATAGATGATTTGAAGTATATGGGAGGGCTGGGCATGGTGGCTTATGCCTAAAGTCATAGCACTTTGGGGGGATGAAGCAATCATATTACTCAAGGTTAGTTCACGACCAGCCTGGCCAACATGGTGAAACCCCATTTCTACTAAAAATACAAAAATTGGCCAGGTCTGGTGTCACATACCTGTAATCCCAGCTATTTGGGAGGCAGAGGGAGGGAAATCTCTTGAACCTGGGAGGCAGAGGTTGCAGTGAGCTGAGATAGTGCCACTGCACTCCAGGCCTGGGAGACAGAGTGAGACTGTCTCAAAAAAAAAAAAGCAAGTAGGAGGATGTGTAGGTCATATGCAAATACTATCCCATTTTATATCAGAGACTTGAGCATCTATGGATTTTGATATCCATGGGGACCTGGAATCCCAAGCATAACAAGGAATACCTATACTATTCAAATGAATGCAAAGCTGTTCTCATAATTATGAGAAATATGTTTGGCCCATATTCAGGCACTGGGTTGACCCTGCTGAAAGAAACGTCATTCTGCATTCTCAAGTATTTGTGCGTTATTGGTTATATCCAAGAAGGTGAAAGTACTTTTTCCTTTTTAGTAAGACATAGTAATTCATAGGAGAAAGCAAAGCTGTTATGGTGCTAAACAACATTCAATAAATCAGTAATTTTATAATCACCAAGAAATAAGTCAGTGTGAGAACAACAGGTAGGAAAGAATAAAGAGTCATGTGATCCTCACCTGTTTATTTTTGCATTTTTTGCTTCTTCAGCGTTCTGAATGGTATTTAGGCAAAAGTAGTTTAGGAATGATAAGCCATAAAATGTTCTAGGGTTAGAAATGATAATAGCTTACATTATACAGTAATTCTGTTAATAATATCTAATTAAGTGATTAGCTCTATTTACAAGTACTTTCTGAGCACAGCATAATAACTATACCTTAGGGTCATTTATAGACTACAGACTGGTTGAAATGAGTAACATTCTAACACAATTAATTTGAAATATAGTAGTCTGTTTCCTCTTTCTGGAACAAGAAAATTTTTTTAAAGGGCTTTCATCAATGTAATTCCTATAGAAGACTCCTACACAAATTTATAGAATTATCAATGAGAAAAACTCACTTCAGAAAGAGGATAAAATGGCAGAAAACACATGGAGCAGGGCCTGAGTCCTTGTCTCAGCCCTTCCGGCAGCACCATGGGTGATCCGCCTATTGTTCAGCCTCTGGGCTCCAATTCCTTTGTCATCAGTATGACAGAGTTAGAATAGAAATGTAAGATTTAGAGACCGGGATGAATATGGTATCTATGTTCCCCAGAAATTTGCAGACAAAAGATTTGATTACTTGGATTTTTATAAGGAATTTATGCTTCTTTTCTTTTTATATATTAGAAATATTTATGAAAAGTTGTTTCAAAAGGAATTTTTTCTCTGATGAGAAAAATGTCTAAATAACTCCTGATCACTGGGAACTGCTGGGTAATCCAATGTAATGAACTGATTATTTTCTTATCCACAAGTAGAAAAAACAGAAAGTATCTCTTAAAATGAGAAATAACAACAATATAAAACACAATAAGTTATAGATGTTTGCATAGAAAATGGCATAACTTTTATTTTTTTGTATGGTAAAATGCTTATAAAATTTACCATCTTAACCATTTCAACGGTATAGCTCAATGATATTCATGAACTATAACAATATGATACAGTGAAAATATGATGATTCATATTGTCATGTAATCACCACCACCATCCTTTTCCAGAACTTTTCCATCCTGCAAAGCTAAAACTTTACACCTATTAAACAAGAACTCCTTATTCCTCTCACCCGTGGGCCCTGGCAACCACTGGCCATAACTTTTTAATTCTTAAGCTTAGTGTCTTCCTTCCATCCTCATTCTCTTTGATATCTCTGTAACATTTGACACCACTGACAAACAATAACTTTTTAAAAGTTTTTTTTAACCTCTCTATTTTTCAAAGCTCCTCCTCTGCTTTCGGCACAAGCTCATCTTTTTCCTTCTCTTCTCATTGGATGGTTGAAAAACTTTGAAATTTACATGAAAAACACAGCTCCATTAACAAGTGGGCAAAGGATATGAATAGACACTTCTCAATAGAAAACATTTATACTGCCAACAAACATGAGAAAAAGCTCAGCATCACTGATCACTGGATAAATGCACATCAAAACCACAATGAGATACCACTCATATCAGTCAAAATGGCTATTATTAAAAAGTCAAAAACAACAGATGGCAGTGAGGTTGTGGAGAAAAGGGAACACTTTAATACTGTTGGTGGTAGTGTATATTAACTAGTAACCACTTTGGAAGACAGTGTGGCAATTCCTCAAAGACTTAGAGGCAGAAATACCATTTGACCCAGCAATCTCATTAGTGGGTTTATATCTAAAGAAATAAAAATCATTCTATTATAAAGATACATACACGCGTATGCTCATTGCAGCTCTTTTCACAATAATAAAGACATGGAATCAACCTAAATGCCCATCAATGATAGACTGGATAAAGATAATGTGGTACATATTATGCAGCCACAAAAAGGAACAAGATAATGTCCTTTGCAGGGAAATGGATGGAGTTGGAAGCTATTATCCTCAGCAAACTAATGCAGCAACAGAAAACCAAACACTGCATGTTCTCACTTATTATTGGGAACTGAATGATGAGAACACATGGACACAGGGAGGGGAACAACACACACTAGTGCCGATTGTGGGGGAGAGAGAGCGTCAGGAAGAATAGCTAATAGATGCTGGGCTTCAAACCTAGGCGTTGAGATGATTTGTGCAGCAAACCACCATAGCACATGTTTATCTGTGAAACTACATATCCTGCACATGTACCCCTGAACTTAAAAGATGAAGACAAAAAATCATAAAAAAATATAGGTTGTCTTATTGCAAAAATAAATAAAGAGGTTTTGTTTTTTTTTTTTAAGATTTTAATCCTCATCTCTCACTAACAGTTTTCCCCATGGCATCGATTTTTTATGACTTTGTCATGTTTATGTAGATAATTATGATCCTGTTCTGGTACTCTATTCTCTGCTGAGAAAGAACATTGCCACTCAAGAATGTTGTCATCACCTTAGAATCAGTGTTCATCCCCTTATCTCTCCCACAACTAGTTTCTCTATTTTCTCTGTTTTGCTGCTTTTAAAATTTACCTAGTTATGTTCCCCCAGAAACGCAAATGCTTCTTTATCTCCTGCTCCCAGTCATGAAGTACATTCAGTGTCATATTTGAAAAAATTGTACATCTTTTATTTTCTCTTTCCATTTCTGCCATCCTGGGATAACTTCTGGTGGCCTGCCTGGTGTCAAACTTTCTCTAAGCATAATGCACCCTCTATTCCATTCACCTTCTGTTCAAACCACTTTCCTCATCTATCACTTCTCTGCACCTGTTTCCCACTTTTTTTTTTCTCTTCTTTTCCTTTTTTTTAGGAGGGGAGAAACAGAGTCCAGCTCTGTCACCCAGGCTGGAATGCAATGGCCTGATCTTGGCTCACTGCAATATTTGCCCCCCTGAGTTCAAATGATTCTTCCACCTCAGCCTCCTGAGTAGCTGGAATTATAGGTACCCACCACAGTGCCTGGCTAATTTTTGTAGAGAAGGGCTTTCACCATGTTGGCCAAGCTGGTCTCAAACTCCTGACTTCAGGTGATCTGCCTGCCTCAGTCTCCCAAAGTGCTGGGATTACAGACGTGAGCCACTGCACCCAGCCTAAACTGGTTTTCTTGATTTCAAGTCTCTCAAACTGTATTTCCCCTCGAATATGCAATCTGTGCTCTAGTCATGCTAGTCTCTTTCCTGCTCCTTGGATATTACTCTTGCTGTGCTTTTATTCCTGTGGTTCCCATTTTCCGAGCACTTTGTGTTTTCCTCTAGGTACAGCCTGACATATGAAGGACTTTCCAATTCTCACTCATCTCCCTTTCTCTAAAATTCTATAATATTCATAACCGGTGCCATAGGAATTTTAGCATTTCTCATAGGCCTTGATTGTCTGCTATACTTTGTATTTATTTGTGTTCCTCTTCTCCCTCAGCCATCTTAGTTGCAAATTCCTTGAGATCATAGATCTACAGAGCTGTGAAACAACTGAAGATTTTTCATAAGTTAGAAATGTTCTGGTTTTGAAATAGTTGTAAAAATAGCAACCTTAAAAACATATCAAGGGAAGTTGGAAAGCTTCTGCTGAAGTAAAGGAGTCGTTGCCAAATAACCTTTTTTGTGGGGTGGGGGTGACCTTATTGCAGGGTAGTTGTTGAGATTATATTTTGGGAAGCAAAGGATGTAGATTCTGGAAGGAGGCCATAGAAAGGCAGAAGCTGGAGAAAGCTCCTGTGTTAGACACCAACCAGAATTAAGATGCGGCTTATCAATGGATTACTCTTCATATGCCTGTGATTAACTTGTGATTTGGCTCTATCTTAAAGAAATGCTACCAAAGACTTTGTTAAGTATGTGCCCTAAACAATCAAATAGCTATATTGAAATTCCAGCATTTAGAAGGTGAACTTCCATTTTTAGAAGAAACTTTCTGCATTGTCTATTCTCTGACATTAGATGGAAGTGGAGTTGTAGATGTAAAGTTGTAGATATAAAGTCTGAAGACCTAAGGTCACAAGTCTAAAGACTTAAATAAAGATCCCACCCATAAGTTAGAACATGAGATAAATTTACATTTGCACAATCAGTTTGACAAGTTTATCAATCTTTTCAAATAATGTGTTTTTGGTTTTACTGTTTTTGTCTTT